TTTCCCTTTCCCCACCAGCGTACCTGGGCAGTGATTAGGGACACGAGTTAAGAACTTCTATTCCGGGGGTTTCCTGTTTTGTGATAGTCCTTTTTCTCTAATGATGCTCTAAACTTATGACCCGCTGAATATTTACTGCAGATATATGCATCTGTGTCTAATCACCAGAGCCTGAACAGGTCAATTTGTAGAATTGCTTTGATATAGGCAATGTACAGAACAGACGTTGGCAGAGCAGTTTAGTCATTAGATACTTGGCTTTGCAGTTTCCAATATGCAATCTATAAGAAGAGAAACGCCTTCTACAGATTTGGATTTTTCTTTTTGCAATGGTAATGCAATGCCACTTGTTTCCAGCTTTCTCATAGGGTTGTAATGATGAACAGGATAAAATGGGCTGTTGAATAAAACAAAAGCCATGTTCTATAGCAGAATAGGTCTTAATATTGACTACATGTTACAATGTATCCAATAAAAATATTAAAATCATGCATCCACCTTCCTTTGTAAATGACAGTTAAGAATAGAGATTGCTGGTTTTGGTAATTAAGACTGATTTTGTTAGTTGATTTTGATTCAAAGTTCAGTGTAGAGATTCTTTTCACAATATGTTTCTGCAGAGAACAGGACAATGATTTTTGCTTGGTTGGAGTCTATGGCCTTTTGTATAAGGCCAGCAATTAGTACTTCCATTAGCTGTTCCCCAGTGAAGGTAGTTTGCCCTATTCCAGTAAGGTCCTTTTAACTCAGATGGTTTTGGTATGATTTCCAGTAAGCTACATGTAAGAAGAAGCAAGGGCAAAAGATAATAGTTCTCTTTTATGCTCTCTGTGAAATTAAGATCCATCTGTCTTGGATGCTCCTCTCCAATAGATCATGCAGAAGTGTAGTAGGCTACTTCAGTATGAAACCAGAACAGTATCAATACCACTCGGAGGCTTTGCTTCCTGTGAGCTGAAACTTTATAGCAATGGAGCTAACCATAGAGAAACCAGAAGCCTGTGGATGTCTATAAATGATGTATTCTCTGGTAGCTCTCAAAAGTCCCAAACCTCTCAATGCTGTGTGAGTTTAAATCAATGAAACAGGGGTCAATACCTTTTCTATGTCTATTTTTTTTCTTCTCCTTTCTTGTTCCATCTTTCCTACTAATGGGAATAGCATCCAGACTTCTAGAATTAGAAGAAATACTGTTCCAGGAGACAAATGGAAGTGTCCGATGCTTTCCTATTCTCCCAGAAATGTTTTCTGGTTGCACTTGGGCTAGTAATGTAATCAAACTATTTCTTGGTTTTTCTATGTTGCTTTGTTCTCTTGGACAATGCCTTTTAACTATCCATCATTTTTTTAGCTTTCTTCTTTTCGTTAACCTTGGGCTGGACCAAATCTGTTTCTTTAAATCAAGATGGTAAACTGTAGTTATTTTCTGGAAGCTCAAAAAAAAAACCCAACAAAAAACAAAAAAACCCACCCACCTCGTATTTCAGTGGACCAAAAGATATGTGACTGCACTTGAATGTGAGTTATGTTCACCGTTTTTAATTAGCTAAAAAGAATTTGAAAGCAGCACTATTGTTTTTGCAATGGTTTAGGTGTATATAACTTCCTTAGCAAGCAATTACTAAAAAATACTGTTTACTTAGCTGTATTTCCCTATTAAAAATGAGTTTGAGTCTGCGCACAACCCATCTTACCTGTTCTGCATCCTGAAATTGTTCCTTTGCTACTTCTCGTCATGTCATTCACCACAGGAAGTGGATGAATGGCTTGGCTTTATAAGGCAGGAAGATCTGCAAGAGAGCTGTGGAGAAACTTGTTTTGACGCAAAACTTAACGTTATATTGAAGCCATGAGAATGTGAATGAATTGAATCCTGCAAAGCACTGTGTTTTTGTCTTGGAATCTAACAAAATGTTATTTACTAGTGGATTTGTTTGGAAGCAATACTGTTTGAGATGGGCTCTGCTGTGATTTCACAGAATAGACAAAAGACAGCAACTTTCCTATATAAGTACAGTAATTTTGTTTGAAAAACATAAGGATGTTTTATTCTAAATGTTGCACTGGTGGAAAAAATGATTTTTATGACAATAATATATGTTAATCTGCACTAATTGCATTTGTTGTGTATTATGTATTGGAGAAAGGGGCCATTTGCTAGCCTGAAACAGCTGAAAATCATGCATTTTGCTTTTCAGGCAGTCGTTCACTCTGATATCTATAATTAACACCGCTATGCAAATACACAGTCTGCTCCTCTTTTTCTTTGTATTCTTGAGCCATTTTTTGGAAGAAAGGTATGGCCATGGGAACCAATTAGCAGGCCTAAATTTACATATTCAACAATATGCAGCAATGAGAGTCAATGAGAGTTGCAGCGCAGGCAAATGGCTGCAGTTCTCAATCCATCAAGCTCACCTGTTTTTCCACTCATTACCTGGTGAAGATCTCTTTCCTTCTTTCCCTCTGGATACTGGCATCAACCTCTTATTCCCCAAAGTGTTAAGGTGGATGTGTATTCCAGCTGCTGGGGCTGGTGCTGGCTACTTCTTTCCCTCGTATTTGAGGGAATTGTCACTAACCTGGTGGTCTTTAAGGCCATGGGAGGTTAAGCCAACTGATGCATATGATCAAACTTAAATTACAAGGATATAATAAAACTTAAATTAGTATTAGAAACATTAGTAAGCAATTGTGGTGTTAAAGCTGAGCTGACTTCAAGACATCATCAAAAGTCTCTGGGTTTGACTCAGAGTTAAATAAACCATGTTGCTTTTAGCATTGATAGAAGTATTTCTTTAAATACAAAATATATACAGTTTTACGCAGAGCCACCTCCCCAGGGCTCAGCAGGAGGCAATGGGGTCTCGGTGGCCCCGGCTGCGATGGGTCACAGGGCTACGTGCTATGGTAGGTGGGGCACTGCAGTACGCGGACGGCTTGGAAGGAGTAGCTAAGGGCCGACTGAAACTTCACCAGCTTTGCTGTCAAAGACTGCGCACTGTGGTAGCGTATCCTAAATCTGTTTCAGAAATTGTTGTTCTAGCACCTTGTCTGCTTTTTACTGGTAATACTCCAAATGCAGATTCTCTGTGGCCAGCTACGGAGGAATTGGCTCTCCTTGTCCCGGAGCTGTTTCAACCTCTTTAGACCACAATTAAAATTTAATAATTGGCTGCTTCCTTTGGAAGATGTGCTATAAAACTTCTGGTAGCAAGTTAGGATGCAGAATCAGAAACACTGATTTGGCAATTTTTCAGCTCCCAAAGCCAACTAGAGTTGGTCGTACTTGGCTTCTTCATATTGACACGTTTTTTCATTTATTCTTGCTCTTGTATTCCTGCCCACGCCCATCAGAAAATTTCCTGTGCAGGTTTTTCAAGGTGTCATCCCTTCTTTGTGTAAGCCCGAACTCCTGCGGTCTGTAGTGTATCTTGTCTCCTGACTGTAAATAATTTGGGGCAGGGACAGTCCTGACTGCATTTTGTCAGTACAGAATGCACTTTTTGTCTTTAAGTACAGCAAGTAAGCTAATACTAACCTAACGTATTATGAAGTATCTTAAAGCTAATGAGTTAGTTTCCTGATGCTCGATTGAATAGTATGCATAGGTGAGGCTGTCTGCTCTCTGGCCAGGCAAACGGCATGAAATGGGTGCATACATACACAGTACCATTTGTGTTAGTGCAAAATAATATCATACAGATTTGCATCCTGTTTCGGTGTGCTTATTTCTTCCATTGCATCATTTCTATTTTTCTCGCTCTTAATTTTCGTTCAGACAAAATTTTAATCTCATGGTGTTATTCGAAATTTTTAAATGCACGGCCTGTCTGTTGTTTGAAGACTCTCATGCACCACTGGTACTTTAAATTCACAGTCTCTAACACAGCTAATGATGACTTCTCCCCGGACATTTTTAGAGCTCTTTGTTGATTTGTATGCCTGTAGCATTCAAAGAGAAGCTTTGTTTTTTTGCTTTGTTTTACTGTGCTTTAGCATTTCCATGTGGGAAGATGAAAGAGAAGTGGAGGAAGGAGTACAGCTACAGTGCAACAGTCCCAGTGTTTAGTTTTACTCTGTTCTTCTACAATCTTCTCTTGTAGATGCTGCATGTTTCAGATTGTAATGCTACATATCTTACTAGAATAGAACAGGAGTAGTTTTGGGGGAAAAAATTTGAAAGTCTCAATAGAAGCAAAATTGCATCGGTCATATCTTTTTAATATGTATAGATAAAGCTTCCAAATATGTGTTGCTGCTTGTGCAGGCAAGCAGTACAGTGCTTGCTCTCGTACTGGGGGCAAGCCCACGATAGCAGCAGTGAGAGAGGGGAATGTTTAGTCCCCTAAAGAAAGGGAGAAGAGGGCCCTGAAAGCATTACCAGCATTTCCGTTTTTATTTTGTTGCTCAAATGACATACTTTATTGGCTTTGATCAGTTCATTTGCAAATTGAACTCAGTTTTGCTCAGCCTTCATTTATACTTCTAATTTACTCTGTAATTTTGAAGTGTTTTCGGTAGGTCATTCTTAGAATTGCAGGTCTCTCTGGCCTTAGGAAAATGTGTTCCCTAGGAAAAGGGAAGGTAGGATTTTACTTCGGGCAATCGAGTGAGTGCAACGTTTTGCTGTTACCCTGGCCTGAAAGTAAAGTGCTTGTTGCGTATTTAAGTCTACCTAGTAATGAATTAGATGTTTGACACTTTGATCAAGACACTTTAGGCTCTTGAAAAGTTGTCAGTCTTTTAACAACACACTCTTAATTTTTAAAGATATATGTGACTTGGTAACAACTGTTATATTCATTTTCTCCTTGGAGCTGCTATAGTCTGTCTGTCGAGGTAGTCTAGTTTTTGCATGCTGGTTGTGACATAAGAAGGAGAAAACAAATGAAGTCCAAGCAATAGTTGGTAGTAATTCAGGGAATGTTCTTAATTCAAAAGACATGTAAATTATTTTTCATACATTTCAACATTATTACGTACTTCTGCTCGTAAGTGCCTTTGGACATTGAACCCTTTCTTGCTATGTTTACTTTTATGTACTTGCTGGTTTATTAACATAGGGTTCTTTGGTTGCAAGGCTATCTGGAGTTGGTTGGGTTTTAATAATTTATTTTATTGTCAGTAATGAATTTTGCTTAGAGCAAATGAAGTAGTCACACATGCAGAATATGAAGAGTTATGTGTATTTTGCAAGGCCTTGTATAAGAACATACTGAATTTGTATAGCTGGAAGAGGAGTGCATTTTACTGAGTCACAAATAAGAATGTAATGACTTGTAACAAAAGGAATTATTTAAATTGGAAGCTTGGCAGTAGCTATATTTTGAGATTTTTCCTGGAAGAAAGGAAAGTGTTGATTTAGGACCCTGCTTGAAAAGACTTACGGTTGTGCTTACCTGTACTGTAGGTAGACAGCTGGTTGACTTAACTGGGACCTTACCCAGCATGCAGGTTATAAAGGTTATGCAGACCTGGAGGAGCCCAACAGGGAGACAGGGCTCTGGTGCCTGGATCTCGGGTAACCAGTGGGGGGACGCCTGTGCAAGGCAGAGCTGAGCAGGGGCTGCCCGCGCCCACAGCTGGAAGCGACACTCGTCATCGGGGCACTGCTCCGGAGAAACGGCGTTTCTGACCTTGCGCACCCTGCCAGCGCAGCCATCCCGCTGGACAGCCTGGCGCAGTATCTCCACGTAGTACTGTGCTGCGCATGTGCAGGTACCTGTGGGCCGGGACTTTGGCTACAGTCTATTTTCTTATTAGTAACACGTGCAGAATAGTGTTTGGGGGATTTTTCTTTACTAGAGTGATATGAGGATTATTTTTTGAAGCACTGTAAGGGTACTGGTGGGAATACTTTTTTCTGTTATTACTCTGTTTCTGAAAGTTGTTATTTTTCCTTCTTACCACCAGCCTTCTAGTCCCTCTTCTATGTGCTTCTTCTGTCCTGTTCCACCGCTTCATCTTCCTGTCTGAAGTTATACCCAGTATTGCCAAAAACCCCTTTGGTTTTGATCTTCCTCCTTTCTCTATGCTCTTGCAGTTCTGTTAAACTTAATTCTCATCGCATCCTTTTTGTGATTTCAGGTCTGTGGATGCTGTTAATACTTTCCTCAATATTATCAACTGGTCCGATACCCTTTTTTCTTTTCAAAAAAATCCAACTGCTCAGAATAAGCCAGGAGAGACAGACTCCATGTTTTGAGTAACGTTCTGCTTCCAGTGAAAGCTGAAAAAGCGTTCAGTATCTTCTGGGGATTTTAAAACCTTGTTTCTGCCGAAGGGTGGTGTGCAGTACCCTTTGTTTGGAGATGTAAATCTGAATTACTATTTATTTTTGTCTGATTGAAGTAGACTTTTTACAGAGAAGATAAGGAATCTATGCTATACTCTATACTATACTATGCTATCCTCTCCCAAATAGTAAAGAAACGGGACTGATACTGTATAGCTATTCTGCAGGGGGACTACAAAAGGAAAAGTTATGTTCAAATTTGTTTCACTATTTTGGTTTAACCACTCCTTTATTAATATACTGAGTACGTCCCCTCTTCGCAGATTATGTTAGGATACGCAGCATTGCAGTGTGCAGCAAGGTTGCAGGTTGTGAGTTGGGCCGTTGGCATATACGTAACACCCCCTTTTTGACATCCCACAGACAGAAGGTCTAGTATGAAAACTTGCCTATGTTTGTGGATCCTTTCACCGTTTATAGCACCTACCCATCCTTAGTTTTATGATTAAAATTTTCCTTGTCACAAGCAATTTGGGGAAAATATTATATGTTATACTGTTAACATTTGCTTTATAGTTGTAAATAATGAGTTTAATGCAGATGACTGCAGCTATAGCAAATGAATAGGGCAGTGAATGTTTGCTGACAATATTTTTATTGAAGGAATGAGATGCTGCTGATGAGTGAAACTTTTTACCTGGTGTCTCCTCCCCTCCTCCCCAGTACTTCTGATGGTGGAAAGACAGTAGGTACCATTGAAGTCAATCTTGTGAAGATGGGAGAGATAGAGGATGGGGAAGCAGACGACGTCACAACAGATGCACAGGATCAAAAGGTAGGAACTCAGTCAATTCATTGCACAAAGTAAATTAGAATGATCAGCTGTGTCAGACGTCTGTTACTAATACCACACTGGGGTTTAAGTACTTATTGTTATTTAAAAATTTCTGGAATAAAGTGTCGTGTGCACTCCTCTCTCTAAACTAAAAATACTCTCGCATGAAACTGTACAAAGCAATACTCTCTTTTCAGTTCCTACTCCCTATCCTTTTTTTAGAACAAAAGAGCTCATTTTATCTTCAGCTGATCATACTTAATCACTCCTGATCAAAATACTGTCCGCAGAGACACCATGAATCTAATTTCTTTTTCCCTTGGACAGTTCCTCTGTTTTCTGCCCTTGAAGTCCCGTCCACGTGGATTTTTGTTAAGTGCAACCTGTGCCCACAATACTGAAAACCTGGACAGAGTGACAGACAGGCGAGCCAAAGAAGAGGTGATTCCCCTTGCAAAAGGGCAGGTTGCGCAGCATTTCATGGGAGCACACAGTGCTGGGGAAAACGAATGGGGGTGGCAGCAGTGGTGCCTCAGAGCGCTAGAGTAGCGCAGCATTGAGCAGCAGGTGTATGCAGGGACTTGGAGCTGGGATGCTCATGGTGTGGGGCGAGAGGGAGGGAAGGAAGGGGCTGGATTTTGGAGCAAGAGGCTCCAAAGTAGGGAGGTCACTTCAGGCAGAAGTGATGGAGACTCGAGTGGAGGATGATATGGGGCAGGATGGATTTGGGAGGAGCAGGGGGGACCGGAACAGTGGTGGAAGGAATGGATGGGGGCAAGAATCAGAAATGACAGCTCTGAATGAGGAATCGGGCTGAGTGGTTTGCAGCTAATCAAAAGGCCTCTTGAACTGGCTCCCTGATTTGATGGGAGTTGGTCTACTTGTACAGAGTTGCTGCCTCCTGATGTTTCTACCTCTGCCTCCCCATTCTTACTGACAGAAATTTTGTAACCCAAATTCTGTGATGTAGCTTAGATAATTCCTTTATTTCTTTATTCTGCTCTTGATGAAGAAACTTAACTTTTGGTAAGGCTATAGGGGAGACAAGATTTTTTTTTTTTTTGAAATAATATAAAAGAGCGTATTGTTCTGAATGTCTTCAGCCCATCCACAGCGCTCTGCTTTTAGGCCAAACCGTAAGGTTACATTTTCTACTACTTTTTTTTTTTTATTAACCATCCTTCTTAAAGGACACCAAAGTGCATTTAAAACAATGGGCTGCTGGGACCAATTCCAAAGCAGCCAATGAACACAGTAAAATCTTTCTTGTTTTGTGCTATAAAACTAGCACAAGATATGGAACATGAACTGTTAATCCAGACTTGTTTTTCGTTTTACTTTTCTTCCATTTTGTAGTGTGGGATGAGACCCACTCTCAGTTATTTGAGATGTAACTGTTGCAACTCTCTCAGTTATCTGAGATATAATTAATGAACTGTGCCTAGCATAGCTGAGTCAGGAGGCATCAACAGTGTCATTGTCAAGAAAGGGGTTAAAAAAACCACAGCATCCATGTGACAGTCGTATTTTCTGGGGTCTTAAAGGAGTCCTCAGTTTTTATGAGTTAGTTGCATCATGGTGTTACAAGAGTCCTAATACGTACGTTTATAGCAAGGATGTAATTTCTGGCTACAGTCCCAAGAAGCAATCGTGAGAATACGGTGCTATTGAATTACTCCAAAGAAGTAAGTTCTGAATTAGGTTTGCCTACCTCATTAGACAAACCACACACAGACAATTGTTCATGGAGGAGTAAGCTGACGGTTAAATTCAGTCTGAGATGTGGATTGGTAGAGAGCACATCATGTCTCGCTCCTTGCTTCAAGCTCTGCAGCAGAATGTCTAGAAACTGTGGGAGCCCTGGGAACATGGTTACCCATCACTGTGAGACACTGTCTCTTGTGGGTGATTTGGATGGGTTTTGTTTTGTTTTGTTTTTGGTGGGTTTTTCCCTCCCTCTTGAGAGCTTGAGGGGGGTTTAAAAAAAAAAAATAGTAGTATGTATCCTAGTACATTTAACATTGATTTAAACTGGTTGATTTTTCCATAAACTTTTCATATAGCTTATGATGGCAAATGCTAATCTCATAAAAGAAATCTGCTGGTTCACTTGCATAACAAATGAATTTAATCACAACCTGCAGCTACATTTTAAGGACTTTTTGTAGTCCCTAAGTTTCCTTTGTTTAAAAATTTATGGACTGTTTTTTGACACTGTGCCTCTGCAAACTGCCTTGTTGAAAGAAATCCCTCTGAAACCACAGAACTTGTCAAAAATTATTTTAACCTGTGCCCTTGTGTTGGTAGGTAACCTTTCTGTTTTATTATGGAATAGCTGGTCGTATTTTGCCATTTTCTTTGCAGTAATTCTGATTGTGTTACATTATATTGAAGCAGAAATATAAAGAGAAAAATGTAAATGATAACTTTTCCAGCCCTATGTTTAATTATCTTATCAGTTATATTCTTCAGTCTGTCATATATGAACAGCTTTGAATTTTTTATAGTACCTGAGAGTGTTAAATTTGTTGCGTTTCTTTTGTAGTGTGCATTGGTTCGTGAATGTACAGCCCCTGAAGGCATAAGTGGTAAAGACAGCTTACCTCTACTAAATGCAGGTAGGTGTTCTGTTGGACAGCTATATTAGATCCTGGAGCAGTCATAAAGATTTTAAGCAGAACACTTAAAAAATTGTGCATAATTTAAAGAACTTTTGAAGTTTAATATTTTATTGTGCTTTATACATTTTCTTTACTTTCAGATATGTCTGAATTATGGTTTCTGAAATGCTGCTAAATTCTCCCACTCCTAGATCTTTTCCATTCAATGACTTTCAAGACTAACAGTGACTTCAGTGGGCGTGGAATTAGCCTCATAAGTTTCTGTCATGTTATTATATGGCATACTGTTAGAGTAATTGTGCATTATTTGCAGGTGGATACTGGAGAACTCATCTCTTTCATAGCTGACACAGTGGCAATTTTGGTTTGATCTGAAAGCCATGTGTCTTAAAATGAAGGAAGCCTTTGGCAAGGCATTCTCAGTTCTAGGTCAACCCTAGAACTCTGGGCTTGAGTGTACAGCGTTGAGCTAGATCTATTTTTCCTTCTTTGTACTGAGAAAAATTACATGCTGGTATACTGCACCATAAAAGTTTTATTAGCCGAAGTTTATGAGTCTCCATTACTCTGCACTCACAAATAAGTTATATGGGTCATCTGAAACCGCAGTGCTGTCAAGATTTTGGTGTATGTGCTGCATACACTTTAGGAGAAATGCTATTAAAGTTTAAGGAACTTCTAAAGCCTTTATTGAAACTTTTTCTTATCGCTTCACTGGTAGGACAGGAGAAAGACGGTTATTAGTTCAGCTTTGCTGTCTGAAGAGATCACTAGAAACCTCCAAAAATAATTTTTCCCATGCATACAAATGTTGTTACTTTTTTTCCAGTGATTTGTTGAGGCTAGGTGGGAAGCATGGAACACTTTCTTGTATAAAGCTGCCGTATCTTTTCATTGGTTCAGTGAGAGACTAGATATATTTGTGGAAAAAACATTCATTGAGAATTACTGAATGCACAGGAACTACATGTGGTTCAGGAAATCCCTGAACTGAAAATAGCTGGAGGCAGGGAGACTATCTTGCATGTTTGTCCTGTTGTTATCTTCTCGAGGCAGCTATTTATGGCCATGGTTAGAGACAAGATACGGAGCTTGTTGAGTGCTCCGGTCTGACTCAATACAGCCGTTCTTTTATTCTGACTCTGTATGACATCCAGAGAAATGGATCTTAAAACGATAACATTTCTATTCAGAGAAAATGTTACTGATTCACAACTGGGTTTTTTCAATTTGCTGCCTCTACTGGGTTTTTGTTGTTTTATTTTGGGAGGGACGGGGTGGGGGAATGCTGTAGTTTGAGGAATGTGTTTTCGTATTTGAATTTTTATTTTTAAGATGACAAGTCTGTTGGAGCTTCTAAAATAGAGTGGCAGCATGATGAAGTTGAGGTCACTTTCTCAAGAGTGCTTGAATGATTTATCACGTGATTCAATGGTATATGTAGACCGCACTTACCAGATCTGTGTTTATTTTTCTCATATACAAATACAGAAGAGAAAACAAAGAACTCGAGCCTGTTCAACATTGATGTGGTTTAAGAAGGCAAACATGAAAAGTTTAAAAAAATAAAAAATAAAAAAGGGGGGGGTGGGGAGGAGAATTGCAGATGTGTATGCGAAATGACAGCATGCAGGATATTGGAAAAAATTTTCAGTCCCAAACACTTTAAGGAAGTTTGTTCTAATAAGTACTTATTCTTGGATCTGATTCCCATGCTTGAGACTTCCTCTTCTCACCCACGTTGTCTCCACTTCCCTCCTGACACCTGGCACCAGTTCCAGGCTTAAGACTTTCAGTCCTACCCTTTTCTCCTGATTCTCACTGAATTCCCAATCTCTATTCTTAGCAACTTTTAGCTCTCCTTATACATTCCCAGCCTCGTTGCCCACCCACACTTCTTCCCCAGCATATCATCTTGGCCGGTCTTTATCTGGGTTAAAGGTCTCCATGTCGCCTGGGGACTGGCTTTCTAATATAGGTACCAGTACCTTTAAGCGTATTGCACATCCTCCCCCCACTCCAAGCACTTTTCAGGAATGTATTCAGCCACCCTTTAGGAGAGGCGCATGCATAACCTAGTCAGTGTTAGAAACTGGGAATAACACAAGTGTGTTCAGAAAAAGTGGAGGCTTCGAATATATAAGTTCAAGCCAATCTATTTTGAGTATTTACCTATTGAGATTTTTTTCCAAAGCTTATGTCACTGTCAGATCTGGGTGGATTGTCATGGATATGGTAAATGCACATCTCTACAAGATTTATTGACAGAATTCAAATTTATGAAGCCTGGAACGTCTATTGCAAATTTCATAATTTTAGCATCCAAGACCATCCTGACTTCTCTCGGCTCGTTCTCAGAGGGGCTGGGCCGTTTTGACTGAAGCTTTCCAAAAACACTCAGACTGATCCAAACAAATTTCGGTGTGGCAAATTAGAAGCAATCAAAAACAAGGACTTAAGAGAAGGGAAAGACAATATAAACAATACAGTAAAAGATGGCGATATCAGCCTACCTAAATATACACTGCCTGCACCTTGTTTCCATGTGGTACAGAGCTATGTAGAGCACAGTATATATTCCATTTACAGATGTGCGTAGTACGTGTGTATACTGCAGTAAAAGATTTTTGATTCATTCTATCTCATATTGCTTATCAGACCTTCATAACTAGGAGACTGAAAAAATACCCCTGTGTGGATCTTAAAGCCTGCAGGCAAAAACGCACATTGGCATTCTTCTAAAACTTAGATCTTAATATATGGAACTTGGAGCCTGCAAGTGAGTTGTGAGGCACTTATTGAGTGAGTGGGAATGAGTATCATATTTCATAGAGGCTTATCACTATTCCATTTATACTTCAAGAGATTGAATTTATATGTCTCAAAATTCAGTTATTTATTTATAATTCTGGAAAATTTGCCCATTGTTTTCATGTAAAAATATTGTCCCCTACAATGAAAAAGAGGATGATTAATTGAAATTAAGCAAGAATGAAGAAATTTGAAGATATCCTTACTGAGATGACATGCGTAATTCTTCTATGTTGCAAAGGAAGATAGAAACACTATTAGTAAATTAGTATATGACAGGAGTATGCTTTGATCTTTGCTGGATAGGGAACAAAAATGAAAACAGAGTATTCAATCTTGTATTTATTTATTTATTTTTGCTTGCAGGGGCAGCGGTGTGAAGGATATTGCATGGAATAAAAAGCACAGAGGTCTTTAAATTTAAAAACAAGGATGTCCAAAAAGGTGGATAGTTAAATATATAGCATTAGCTTCAGGGGTTCACTCTATAGAGGAAGGCTTTTAAAATGAAACTATTTCATTTTAACCACTGCAGTTCAGCTGGAATTGATTTTCATCAGCACCTTTCATGGTCACTGTCTAAATACAGGAAGGGTTACATTTATGAAACTTGCACTCATTGTAATAATTGCTTTTTATAAAAGCCAAATCTTGTCTTGGCATTCTTGCCACTTGGGTGGTTTGACATGCCTTCTGGGTTTCTGTCTTTTTTTTAAAACAACTTCAAGTTCTTGTTGTAATTAGAAAGAAAAGTACATCTGAGATTTTATGGGATCATGACTTTAGCAGTTGTGTCAGTTTGTTAGTTTTTTTTCTTGGTGGTGGTGATGGGAGGTGAAACGAGAGGAAGGAGACTGTGCAAATCCAACCCTTATATACACTGGTCAGCTGACCATTTTATGTATGTACATTCGGTTCTCTCAGACTAATGTGAGTTCTTGAGCGTAACACATTCTGAGTGTAAATTTTTTTCTGTGGACAATAGTTAAGGCTGTGTTGTGAGGGTGTAATGATGTGTGTGTAATGATGCTTTAACCTTGAGGTGTTCTGGGTGCAAATAAGAATAGCAGCAGTTGTTGTTCGTTATGTGATAGCTAATAATCATTCATTATGCTTATCTCATAAAAGTCAGTCAGAATTTAAGTTTTGTAAGTAAAATTACTAAGAAAATAAAAGCAAGGTGACTAGCAGAAGGCTTCCAGTTTCTCATCAAAGATGAATGGTTAAATAGGTCTCAGTGGAAACACAGGAGTAGAAAACAATACATCGGCAATTCTTTAAACACGACTGTTTACAACATTCGTTTCTTTATGAATTGCTAACAGCCATATTGTTACAGCTGTCCCTGAATCTGTGGTCTCTCCTTTAGGCCTTTCCTAAAGGACTTCTGTTAAAAACCAGTTTGGTTAGGTGTACAAGACCATTTGTGTATCCTCGATAACTTGGTGTATGTTTTTCATGCTCTGTAAAGCAGCCTAGATAGGCAGCAATGGGGGCAGTGGGCTGTGATTAAAAACTGAAATTTCTACTAGTAAAGTCTTTTTTAACAGCAGCAGTTTCCTTCAAAGTGCACCCGGGAAAGGCATGCCTTTGACTTGCAGAGGGTTGAGTGGCAGGACCCGTGGGAGGCCGGTTGAAGGCAGCTTCTTTCGGTGTGCTGAGAAAAGGGTGCTGGTGGAGGGCTCAGACCAGTGGCTGAAGTCACTCTGAGTTACGAAGTGGGGGATATGTCTGTTTAATGACAAGTGTTTATTTCCTTATAAGATTATCAATGTAGTCAAGTGGAACGCTATTTCTCAGCTTTTTACCCCATGTGCCCCTTCAGGAAAATCAGTGAAGAACAGGTAAAAAGACTCCAAGGAAAAGATAAGGAGAGAATAGAAACCCCAGCTTTATTATAGAGAGTCTTTATAAGATTTTGATGAAAAGCCAGCATGTGAAAGCTTTGGGATGAAAAACATGGTGTTTTTCGGTACAACCTTCCAAGACGTTTAGTATCTTGGTTTTCATACATCAAGCTACGATAGTGATCTGACAACAGAGTACACAACACGTTTACAGGATTGTTACATTTATTTCTGTGAAGTGGCAGTTTCTTGACCACGTCAGTGGTGTGGTTTTCCTTAATATAAGTGCACACCATCTATTTGTGTTAACAATGACAATGTGCCCATATCATGGGGAAGTTGTGTTGGATATATCTAAACCACGAGGCATGCTTCACTTCTCCCATGCAGTTTATTATTAATATGTGAGAGGTTCTAGCATGTGCTAAATTATGGCGTTGACTGTATGCAAGTGCACTGTTTTTGTGCTTTCAGTTTTTCCTAACTTTATCTCAAGTGTAAAGATTGAGTAATTTACGTTCTTACTACACTGCAATGCTGAATTTGCAAGTCACCTACTGTGCTGGTTAAATGTGACTTATTTACTGCACTAGTAATATTTAGTCCTTAATATGTTGCTATAATAGAATTTTAATGCTTTTATAGAATTTTAATGTTTTTAAAATTAATTTTGGTAACAGAGGGAAGAGACAAGTAACATCATATTTTGGATGAAATAGTTGTCATATATTTTTCAAAGAGTTCTATAACCACAGTTAAGCAATGATGTAATTTTTCCTCCCTCTGCAGTGTTAAAAAACCCAATCTGTAAGTTATATAGATTCCCTACTTCTGACAACAAGTGGATGCAGATCCGAGAACAGATGGCTGAGACCACCCTCTCGTTCCACGTTCCTAAAGAACTGATCAATCTGCACATAAAGGAGGATATGAGAAGGTAAGGAAGAAAAAAGTAGTGATGGTAAATATTGTTTTTAGCTGGAATACTGTATATGATGAACTAAAAATGTTAAACTTCACTATGAAATAGGCAAAATATAGTAGTCTTTTTGGCTGCTAAGTATTCACAGCTATAACTGAACAGCAGAGTTGATTGCTCAGAATTTTAAAGACATCAGTGACCTCATAAATTCTGAGCAATGAATTGTGTTATATTCAGTCATTACTTTAAATGTGTAAGAATCAACATTTGATTAACAATATAAATATTCTGGAAAATTAACATTTTATAAACAAACACCACATAACATAGGTCTAAACTGCATTGCAGAGTGTTTGGCTTTGTGCCTCACAACACTCATAACAGATAAATAAGCAAGTAGTAAGACGTAACGTGACTGTAGTTTGTAAAGGAGCAATGAGAACGCAAATCACTTTCCTCTTGTTAATTTTTATTAGTTGGCATAAGAAAAGGATGCCAAAGCAGTGCTTTTTTTGATGTTTGCTTGTGTCTGACCTTGTAATCAGGCAGGACATCTGAGGATCATCACAGTATATATAGCATGGGAAAGGGAGAGTAAGGAGCAGCAGTGGTCTTAAATCTTTGGCTGCCTAAATTCCCGGTGCAAGGAACTGAAATGGGAGCCTGCTCTTGAATTACCTGTAGGTTCTGCTGGTGCTTCTGGGGAAAAAAGCAAATTTTCAAGCAGTCCAGGGCTTACGTGAAAGCATGCCTGTTTTTTCTAATAAATAGTAGATGATCTAGAAAAAGATACTGCCTCTCCCTGTATGCCTTGCCCCTCACATAGGTGGGCATCTGGTCTCATCCATAACAGAACCACTGTGAGCTAACGCTGCATCCCAAAGCCATCCTGCGTACTTTCTGGCATTCCCTCTTCAGCAGTCCGTCAGAGGGTTTGCCTGTGGTTGTTTACAGTGGCTTTTGGTCCTGCAATAGGACCCTTTTTTCTTTTTTGTTCATCCCATCTGCCGCTTCTGTATGATCTTTTTATGCCAATAGAACAGCATGTAGGGGACCAGAATCTCTCTTTTAATAAAGTCAATGGACTGATACATACTTATGTATGGTGATCATGGGTTATAAAAATCATATGTGCATTGGTTTAATACTTTATTCATTTAACATAGTATTTAGGCTTTTATGGCCTTATCTTGTTTTAGAACACTAATTTGTAAGGTTTTTTCAGGAAGCAATAAAAGTAGATTGGGTTGACGGCATAGTTCATCCAGTTCCCAAATTTTCACTTGTCCCATGGGTAGCTGCCCTTTAAGTATTAGGGAATTACTTTAACCACCATTACTTCTTGTGCATTATCATCTCCAAAACCATAATGCAAGTAATAGCACTTATTGCTACTTCATACTGTGACTGCAAGGCAGGCGAGTGAGGGTCAAACGCCAGCAAAGAGAAACACTCACAGTTCATAAGGGTTTAAACAGGCTAGATTTAATAAAGGACTAACACTCCAAACTGCACGGGAAGCCCCGGGGAACACGTGGAGGGGTCATGAATGGGAGGCTGCTGGAGGCACGGCTTGCACGCATGGGTTGGACGCCCAGGCAGGACTTGACTCGTCGTATCCTAAGGGCCCCTTAAATGTACTAGAACTATTTCCTTATCTCAGCTGTGCTGTCTGGGAGGCAGCTAGACATTGCTGACAGAAGAGAATATGCATGCCTGGCCTCGATGGGAACATGGTCAGTGGGTAGTTTCACATGCTGGGCCTGCTACCATGTACTCGGCCAGGCACCAGCTCCTCGCCAGATCTTCTGCAGGTGTTCTCTCTACACGTACTGTAGTATTGACCTCCTTGGATAAAGTCTCAGTGAAAAATCACTGTGGCTTATGTTTTCAATGATCATTCAGTACTTGCTGAAATAAAGAAAAACTTTGAGGATGTTGAGAATGATAGGCATGCTTTCTGTATGTTTACTAACATCTGTTGGTGGGACACTGGAGTAGTCTTCCTTTGTTTTGAAACCAAACAAATCCATAAAACCATCAGGAAGGCTCTATTTAACAGCATTTCATTGTCACTGAAACACGAGTAAAAGTTGCTCAAAGACTGAGGAAAGTGCTTATGACTTTCCTGACTGCTGGCTTGATAGCTCTTAAAGCCTAGTGGAAAGTGTGTATGTGTGAAAGAGAGTATGAGTGATTGTATTGGTCTGAGGGAGGAGATGAGGCCAACCAAGAGGAGCAACAGCTTGTGGTAGGATCCTAGTAGCTGATGGGAAGAGACACCTCCGTCACCTGTCAACATAGGAACGGGACCTTTAGGTTTGGTGTTCAGCAAGTATGAAAGAATAATCATTTTCATCTCATAGGCCGCTCTCTGTCACCTTCGCCGTATTTCATTTTATTCCTGTTATGGCTTCAGTATAGTCAGTTCTGAAGCAATTAGCTATAAAAAGTATCCAAGTGCAATATTAGTTAGTTTAGTATTCTGTTTTAAATGGCATATTAAATTCTTTTTTTCATAGTTCTAAAGATTGTGTAGCTGTTGATAAAAACTACAGGGCTCATTGTTAACTGAACTCTTGCATTTGCTAACTTAATGCTCTGAAGTATGGAATTTCGGAGGATATTTAAGTTTGTTCATGTTTTTCAATGTGAAAAGTCTTTCAACATATGCATGAATATGAAGATATGAATGGCTGTATCCTTCAAGCCTCCACTGAAAAAATTTTAGCTGGAGCTGTACATTTGTTCTGATGTTCTAGTAAGGCCAATACAGTCTACGTTGTTGTATTTTACTAAAAAATTATTTCAATTTTCTCCCCAAAGTTTTCTAAAGAGTCCCTTTCCCCTCTTTCTAATATTTCTTTAGAGAGATCTTGTCCAGAATTTTTCTATCTCTATCAGGCAAGATTAGTATCCTAATGCTTATTAAACCTAATGCTTATTAAAAAGGCTACTTATTTGCAATAAACTATTGAGAAACTTTGTGAGGCCATATAACCTAACTTTGCGGTTGTAGATGCAGCTTATGTTGCCCCAGATGAGAGGAGCAAGAGAATCAGAGACTCTCGTGGAAGCTGCTGTATGCATACATCTCACATGGTTGTCACTAAAGCTTTTTTCGGTCCCTTTGGACCAAGCTCAGCTTTGGCTAAAGGGAAATTCTACCTGCTTATGGCTGAACTAGGCCCATGACATTTGTGGTCACAATCCATAAACAAATTTCAAAGATAAATGCTGAACTTTCCTGGAACCCTCTCTGCAGAGTACAAACCACAACGCAGCTTTCCTCCTGCGTCAGGACCGGCTATCCTATCCCAACTCCAGTATCCTTGTGCAAAGGTATCCAGCGCAATAAGTATTTCACAATCCGTTTATCTCTTTTCATAATTTTTTTCCAGAGTGAGGATAAAGTTCAGACTGTTTGAGAGGTGTGTATTTTTTTTGTTACCTTTTAATATGCAACTGCAGTAGAGAAATGGAGACCCCAGCAGAAATGCTATGCTGGGAATAGTCATTGATTTTTCTTGAACTTTGTATATGACGTGTTAAATGATTTATTTTTGAGCAACTGCATTGCAAACAGGTGGTGTTGAAGCCATGAGAGAGGTGGAGTGAAAGAGTTATGCTGAGGAAATGTATCATGACTTTTTAAGCTGTTTGAACGCACACATTTTTTTAAACAGATTTGTAGACTTTCCTGTTTATCTTCCCCCCCCCCAACATTATTAGTTTTGTAACTATTTAGTTTATAAAGGATAAAAGATAGTGTAATATATGAACACTATATAATTCTCAGTACTCTTTATTTCACTGTTACTAGTTTTTGAAAAATATGACCTCTGTGAAAGTCTTAAGGAATTTTCATGCCTGACTTAAGAGGCAAAATTTGCTGGGTTTTATTTTGTTATTGTTTAAAGTTGAAGTACATGGAAATGGGGTAATATTTCCTGATTTGTTTTTTGGTAGTTACCTCTAGATAACATTACCTTAATTATTCAGTAGTGCTGAAAGCTATAAAATATTAACTTAGTACTGACTGCCCTTAGACTGAGAGAGTAATAGCACAGGCAAAGAGAAGAAAGCAGATCTCTTAAAACCACAGTCAGTGAAATACTTATTAGGAAAAGACTAGAAATTCTGAATTCTCTCTGTTTAAATACAGAAATAGTGGAGCATATGTGGTATTTTCCCCAGGAAGGATGAGAGAGCTGAGCAGCTTAGATCTTTTATTTAAAATATATTCAAAAGGAGTATAACACAGTATTTCCCATTTATGTATATGTATATGGTTTTGTATCGTTAGGAGTATGTGAGTTGCTTAACACAGTTTTATTTTGAATTAATTGGTGCATCGAAAGTAATAGGAAATGTCCACCTTCTGGATATTTGTGTGTATAGCTCTGTGATAACAGAGCAACAGGATTGTATTATTTTGTCCATAGAGGACAAGGATTCCCAGGCAGAACTGTCCCTGTTGGACCTGCTGTAGAAATCTGTGCTATAGATTGTACATTACTTCCTTCTGTGAGTCCCGGTTCTCAAATACATCTTGCATTGGCTAGCTGAATAGGTCAGGTCAATGTTTACCTGTTCCTTATATGTTTAAAGTTGAAAACTTGTTTCATAGGTGCCTCAAGCTGTGAGTTCTTGGTTTGGTTTTGGGTGGTTTTCCAAGGATAGTTTTTGATCACTTAAAAATAATTCCTTGAAGAGACTTACATGCTTGATTATTATTATTATTTTTTTTTTGAGTTGGTTGTTTATATTCGACAGATAGGTCAGAGAGGTTTCTTTTACCATTTTCTGCAAAATCCACCCAGTTTTTAAAACTCCAGAAAACTACTGTATACCAATCAGCAGTGCTTGTCAGACTGGCTGCTAAAATTTCTAAAGTTTTATTTGTGCACAGGATGCCATGGTCTCAGAGAAGTCCATAGTGAGTGAATGACCTATCTGGTAGGTCTTGTAGAACCTCTCATGTAATAGTGAATAATAGTACAAAACCGAAGCAA